GATATTATGGCTTTAATTGGCCATTTCAAATAATAATCAAGACATAATTATATTTCCCAAAGAAATACAGATTTTCTGTTTACTGTTAGAGGGGGAAAAAAACATAGTATTTACACTAACTTCTGTCTCCTAATTTAGAAAGAACTCTATGCTATAGAAAAACGTAGAATTGTTATTACCTTTTCCTTCTTTCCCATAGCCCAGGGCAGGAGGAATGACGAGCTTTCTCTTCTCTCCCACACACATTCCCGTCAAGCCCTGGTCCCAACCTTTGAGAGCCTCCAGGATGCCCAGGGTAAACCAAATGGGCTGACCATTGTTATGTTTGTGGCTACAATAGAAAGAAAATGCATTAGAACATTTTAGTAACTTTGTTATTGCTGTAGTACATTTTTCCCACCCATAGTGATTAAATTTGGAAATTAATGAAAACAGACACACACACACACAAGTCAACTTTATGATATAATTCAATTCACTGTCCAAATTTCTTTTTTTTTTTTACCCAAATTTCTTGATGCAAATTTCACACTGTTGACTTAGCTAGAGAAGTACAGATGGCATAATAATAAAAACAAACAATTATTATTTTAAAAATTTGTTACTGTTTTATTTGTTTTGTTTTGTGTGTGTGTGTGTGTGTGTGTGTGTGTGTTTTGAGAGAAAGAGAGAGAGAGAAAGAGAGACAGCAAAATTTGTTGTTCTGCTTATTTATGAATTCATTGGTTGCTTGTTGTATGTGTCCTGACCAGGGATCTAACCCTTAGCCTCGGTGTATCAGGAAGATGCTCTAACCAACTGAGCTACCTGGCCAGGGCTTAAAAATATCAACAATTATTTTAGCACTTACCACATACCAGGCATTACCCCAAATACTCTTCTTCTTTTAATTCTAACAATGATCATACGGGGTAAGGACCATTTTCCCCTGTGGTACAGATGAGGAAACTGCGGTTAAGTGTGCCAGTATCTGACTTAACTACAAAGTTCAAGGTCTTAACCACAAAGTGATGCTGTCCCAGGTGCAGAAGAGAGAGAAGAAGAATTAAAAGTGGCTGGGTTTGGGGAGGAGGAGAAGGGCTAGGGAGAATTTATGGGTCCATACCCACACAGACACTGAGGGGCAGGAGCATAGCATCTTCTCACCCACCTACAAACTTTCCTTATGTACAGCCTGCTGACGGCCCTGATAGCTGGAAAAGGCTGCTCTTCCACCTCCACCCCCCCCCCCCCCCCCCCGCCTTTATCCCGGCTCAGACCCTGGCCCACCTCTCTCCGCAGGGGTCTACTGTGGGGTGTGCAGGGAAGCCTGGAGGAATGGCCCCCCAAGGATGGAGGAAGAAGAGAATGGTCAAGATATCCTGGCTGATGAGCTAAAGGAAGGCCAGCCCAAGAAAGCCAAGCTGTGGAGCTCCTGGAGGGATTGAGGGCTGAGAAGTGTCTGAGTCCCTGTTAGCTCCCTTTGGGCACAATAAGGAAAGTGTTCTTCTAGGCAAGTGTATCTTGTAGGAGAGAAGGGCAGTCGCCCTACTAGGTTTCAGGGGTACCACGATCCTTAAGTCTGGATAAAGGCTATTACTTCCTCTTTTCCTCCATTTCTCCCATGATCAAGGGAACTTTTGTTCCAATTGTAGAAAATCTGGGAAGGGTAGAGAAAAAAAGGAAAAACGAATCTACCACCCAGCGGACTGCAGTTTAGGCACACTTCTTGTCACGGCAAAGGGATTTCAGCCTCTATTTATTTACCACATAGGCTATGGTTCTAGAAATGGCAACCATGCGTTATAAACGGGTCCATTTATGGTACTTCTTCATCATTCTCAGGGCAGGCAGTTCCTGGCCATTTACACGGAGGCTGCACGACCACAGGGCCCTCGGCAGTTACCAGACGTTAGTAGCAAACCGCTGAAAAGTGGCCCGTGACTATCACCGTAGCCCACCTAGGTTTTTGGTTCTGAGACATGGAAGACTCTAGGTCTAATTTTTGTAATCATAAAAATTATTTTATAATAATAAGTGGTCCTTCTTTATCTTGACAACATGTTTCCAACAAGACCTGCAAAGATCTCCTTACATAAAATTGGCTTTAAACAATTTTCTTTCCCTAAAGGAGGAAATGAGACATTTCCGTTTTTTAAAAAATATGGTAAAACTTGGTACACGCTAGCTTTCCTGCCCAGGGGCTGGGGTAGGTGGGCGGGTTCTCAATGGTTTTACCTGCGGGGTCGAATGACTTACGTGGAGTGAAATAAAGAGCCATCCTTTTCTAAGTAGCCTTCGTAGTGGACCAACATCAAGTCGCCCCCCTTGGTCTTGCGATGGCAGATGAACGGCTTCTGGAGCACTTCGACCTTCACTTCTGGCTCGGGGATCAGCGCCCCACTCAGGGAAGTGACCAACAGCGCCAGGACCGAGTTCCACAAGAGAAGCCTCATGTCGCTGGAGCAGAAGTTCCTACAAACACAGAGGGAGGACCCCGGACCTCATAGAGTTAAGGGTGTAGCTGATGGCTCAAGGGCGACGGCCTCGGGCAAGTTCATGACTCTCCCTTCCCAGCAGACGTGGCACGTCTACTACCCGCAACTTTCCCACGCACTGCGACCTCGCCTCTAAAGGGTTAAACCCAAACCCCCGAGCCGGAGTGGCTCTGACTACGTGATCGTCGGAGAATGTCGGCCTCCCATTGGCTGGCAGTGCTGTCCTTCAGATGCCTCTCAGCCAATGATGTTGCAAGAGGGTAATTTACAGCCCTCTGGAGCGGGAGTCGCCCGGCGGCCACCCACCTGGAGTGGTCCTAGAGCCCGGCGGATGGAGGCATACCCCCACTTGGAATTTTGGAAGAGAGGTGGGGCGCGGAGATAAACCCGGAAACTCCCCGGGCAGATGTGCACGTGTCAAGTACCCCGACGGAGGGAGGTGGGAAGATTCCTGGGGCCTTGTGAAAACTGTACAAGTTTCCGGAAATACTCATTTACTCTCGCTGTAGGTGAGAAGCCCCCACAATTTCACAATCCAAGACTCCCGCTATTGCTTACTATTTACTATAACTGACCCGGCGGTTCTCAACCTGTGGGTCGCGACCCCTTTGGCGGTCGAGCGACCCTTTCACAGGGGTCGCCTAAGACCATCCTGCATATCAGATATTTACATTACGATTCATAACAGTAGCAACATTATAGTTATGAAGTAGCAACGAAAATAATTTTATGGTTGGGTCACAACATGAGGAACTGTATTTAAAGGGCCAGAAGGTTGAGCACCAGTGGCAGAAGACTTACACCGTCCTGTAGGGTTCCCGTGGGTGATCTTCACTACACTGCCCGTAGGCAGGGTCTTTATCCCATATAAAACGCGTATAGGTAAGCTAGGAGAGATTATGAGTCCTGTTTAAGGTTATTCAGCCCCAAAGCAGTTGAGCTCCGCCTTCAAACCAGGTCTGATGCATTCTACAACGCCGCATAGCGTTTATGGCTACTAATAATGTATCACTTAGATGTTCTTACTGCAGAGGATCAATAACAGCTTCTATTGAGGATAAGCGCGGCACACTTCCGCTTAGAGAAGAAACGGTAATCACGGTTACGAGTTACATAGGTTCATCTCAGTTTAAAATGTTTTAGTTTTACATTTTCCCTCTAATTTCAAAAGCAGTACATGTTCATTATACTCGATTCGGAAGAAACTGTAAAGCACTAAAGTAGGGTTTCCAGTGAGAATACAGGAGCTGGATGCCATTTGAATTTCAGATAAACAACGAATTGTTCTGTATTTTTTTTCTTTTTTTTTAAATGTATTTTATTGATTTTTTACAGAGAGGAAGGGAGAGAGATAGAGAGTTAGAAACATCGATGAGAGAGAAACATCGATCAGCTGCCTCCTGCACATCTCCCACTGGGGATGTGCCCGCAACCCAGGTACATGCCCTTGACCGGAATCGAACCTGGGACCCTTCAGTCCACAGGCCCACGCTCTATCCACTGAGCCAAACCGGTTTCAGCTGTTCTGTATTTTTATTTGCTAAATACGGCAAATAAACCTTATACTAAATAGGAAAAAAAAAAAAAAAAAAAAGAGCCGTGGCTGGTTTGGCTGAATGGATAGAACATCAGCCTGCGAACTGAAGGGTCCCCGGTTCGATCCCGGTCAAGGGCACATGCCTGGGTTGTGGGCTCGATCCCTGGAGGGGCCGTGCCAGGAGGCAGCTGATCAATGACGCTCTCATCATTGATGTTTCGGTCTCTCTCTCCCTCTCTGAAATCAATAAAAATATATTTTAAGAAAAGAAAAGGGGGAGGGGAGATAGCCTATAACGCCACAAATAACCTTATCATTTTGGTGCATGCTTCTGTGACATGTGCCTAAAATAACTTGGATCCCATTGTACCCTTTGTTTCGTAATCTGCTCTTTCCACTCATCTATAGTTAACATTCTCCCTGCTCAGATAACCTTAGCCCGGAACGTTCTCACACTTTCATAGGCCTAGGAACCCCATGCAGATTGCGATTTAGGAGGTCGGGGCTAGAGGCGAGATTCTGCAATTCTGACGAGCTCCCAGGTGGTGCCAGTGCTGCTGCCCACGGGCCACATTTCTGGTAGCCAGGCCTTAGCATTTCGACATTGCGTTCACACTGGCCACGCAGCATTCTGTCGCGAACCTCCCATCATCTCCGTAAGCCCTATTGTTGGGTCCCTCGAGTGTGTAGGACCAATCGACAGCCTTGACATCGACAGAGGACCAGAACCCAGGGGCCGCCTCAGGGGTCACGTGAACCCCCAAACATCGCGAGGTGGGACCCGACCTATCCAGGGCACCATTCACAGCGAGCGCGTTGCACACCTGTCCCAGCGGCTCCCCGCCCCTTCCTTTTGCACCCAGCACTTCCTCCCCCGCCCGCCTCCCGGGACTCCATTTCCCAGCGGGCCTCACTGGCTCCGGCAGCCCCGCCCCTGTCGTTACCGCCAAAACCCGGAGTGGATTTTCGCTCCCTGCGCGCCAGCGGTGCACTGAGCATGCGCGAGAAGACCCCGGGCCCGGCTGGTCGGGGACTCGGGGAGCGCGCGGTGCCCGCGCCGCCGGCGACCCGCTGCCTCGCTTGCGGCACTTCGGAGGCTCTGCCGCCCCTCCGGCCCACCCCGGTCCCAGCCCCCGAGCGGAGGCGCGCCAGCCCCTGTCCTGCCCTCACGTGCCGAGGCCGCTGCAGTGACCCCGCCCCCGGGCGGCGATGTGACCGGCCGGGCGTCCCCGCAGCGGGCCGGGCGCCGGGAGTGGGCGGCTCGGCGGGGCCGGGCGATGGCCCTGCGGCCGGCGCTGCTCGCCTCGGGGGGCCTGGAGCAGTGAGGGCTGCGAGCGAGGGACCGCGGCCCGCGCCATGGAGGGGGTGCTGTACAAGTGGACCAACTATCTGAGCGGTGAGTGGGGGCGCGCCGGGCGCTCGGTCCTTTGTCTGAGCAGCCGGGGGTGGGGGGGGGGGGGGGAGGCGACTTCGATCGCGCCTCCTGGGGGTCGGGGTCACGACCCCTCCTGGGACCACGAAGACCTGTGCGGACCCGGGGTATTTCCTCAAAGAGCTTCCCTCACCGGACCGTGTCCCCCAGGCTGTGCGGACACGTTCCCCAGCGGGGCTGGATGAGGGCAATAGCTGCCCTTGCACTTCCAAGGAAACCCAGGAAGTCCCGAGATTTGGGGGTGACCCGAGAGGCGCGGTGCCCGCGGGGGCATCGGGAGGGAGGCGCTGAATTCTGGCGAAGGAGCTGATCTTGCCTGGCCTGCAGATGGAGGGTTCAGATCAATGCTCGAAGTTACTTGTACTGCACGGGGTGCAGGGGTGTGTGTCGGGGTACGGGGGGGCACCCTTTTTAAGAAGAAGACTCCCCCGGGCAGGCACTTTCCTCCATCGCCATCAGAGTCGTCTGCGTGCAGACCTAGGCGCCAGCGCTCCATCGCAGCCGGTTCACAGCGCCAGGGTTTGCACCAGGCTTGGCGATGGGCTTTCTCACTGAGCGTCTCTTTTTGTTTCACAGACTCGGAAATTACCATAAAATCAATGCAAATATTAGCAGCTGTTTTCTTGCCCTGCTGAGCAGAACGGCTCAAAAATCGTAGCCCGCCCCTTTCCGATTTGTGGACTTGCTTCCTCCTTATCTTGAAAAGGTCGTGCCTGTTCTTCAGCTGTGAATGATTCACAACAAGCTGCTGCTTCTTTTGGTTTGTGCGGCCAGTTTTTAAATCAATGCCGTCTGTATGCCGGAAACTGTGCTAGGCGCTTTTTTGGAATGATACTCTTTATTATGGGAAATGAGCGAGGCGCTTTTCATTCTAATGGCAATGTGTGTGAAGCCAGAGGTAGCCCCGGGATCTCTCAGGGTCGAGGAGATATGTGTTCCGGTCCTTCCTGACGGGGCAGCCTTTTGAAGGCTGTGGTGTCTGGGTGCGTTAGAGACGGATGTGTCCGGGAGGATGCGTCGGCAGGTGACTGTAATGAGGTTACACAGCACAGCGAGTGCACCTGCTGGGTGTACCCAGAACCTCTTTTCTGTGCATAGTGAGGTTAGAAGTGCGTTTTTCTCCGAAAGACAGTCCATGACCACGTGTGGCTTGTGTGTTTTCTGTCGTGTGCACACGTTGACATGGGATGGATGCCGTGTGTCACATTTGAGTGGAGAAGTCAGGAAGTCAGTTTAGCAGCTGCTCCTTTGGATCCTTGGAGAGAGTTGTTGATTTCCTCACTACCTGCTCTGAGCTGGGCACAGAGTAAGCACATTGCACAAGACAGACACAACCCCGAATTCCTCGAGCTCACACCTTAACCAGGGGGTTGGGGGGTGGGGGGAGGAGACAGTCATTGGTAAGTGCTTAGAAGCTTGCTCCACGTGTGTGTCATTTGGGGAGAGGGGAAGAGGAGCGACTAGTCGGGGTCATGGGGAAGGCTTCTTTGAAGAAAAGATGTAAGAGAGCCTGAATGACCAGTTGAACCTGGTAGGTGACCAGGCCAAGGCCGAGGTGCCGACTGAGGCCGTAAGGAAGGACTTGCTCTGGTGCAGGAAATGTCAGCGTGAAGGCCTTAAAGCTGGGTAGAGACCAGTGCGCTTGAGGAAATGAAAGACCTGACCTGCATGGCTGGAGAGGGGAGAAGAGGGAGGCTCCAACAAGGGGTGGGGGAGGCCTGATGATGCGGGGCCTCATCCGCTGGTTTAGACCTGTGGCGTGATTGTGTGTGTGTGTGTGTGTGTGTGTGTGTGTGTGTGTGTAAAGAGAGAGAGAGAGAGAGAGAGAGAGAGAGAGAGAGAGAGAGAGAGAAGATTGTTTAAAAGCTTAAAGCTTACCTTGGCTCCATTTTTTGGTATTTTGTCAGATAATGTAGTTATTTTGTGAGCTTCTCTTGCCTCTTAAATTAATATGCATCAGTTATTAAAAGTTGAAAACATCATGCCTTGAGAATAACTTCCAAACTGCTTGCATGCGTATACCACTAAAATACAGAAAGGAAGAAAAGCCCCTTTTCCCTAATGTGCCACACAGCCGCAGGTACCCTGTGCTCCTTCGGAGGAAACTGCGACGTGTATTCTCTTCAGCAGTCCTGAGCCGTCCTGCCCTGTGAGCACCGGAACATTGGATGTTCTGGGATTTAGTGTCAGATCCTCTCTTTAAAAGACTAAACCTGCAGCGAAAAGGGAGTGGGTTAAACGTTTCACAAACACCTCCGTTGTGGGAGACATAGCAGCTAGGCACTGTGTGCTTGTAATTTGTATCTGACAAGCCCTGAGTCAAGGGCTAGTACAGACCCATGGTGTGCGGAGGGCTCTGCAGCGGCACATCAGGTAAGGAGTCAGGGACCTGAAGTCTCATACCGGATCCATCACTGCTGCTGCCGTTTCTGAGCTTTCCTGTCTTCTTCCGTAAGAGGACGAGACTTACTAGTTAATATATATAAAGCTTTTACATGGATCCACTCGTTTAATCTTCACAACAGTTTTAGGAAGCAGTTGCCTTTTTTGTTCCCATTTTCCAGATGAAGACGTTGGGACTCGGAAAGGTAGAGGAAGTGGCCCAAGCTCACAGAGTTAGTAAGTGGCTCCCGAGTTAGTGCTCCATTGCATAATGCATTTAAAGGTCCTTCCTGCTTGATCATTATGTAAGTCTAGTTGATTCATAATGCACCTATATTTAAAGTACGTTGACCTAGAATAGCAGATTCTCCTTGGGGGTAGGAGGTGGGGAGGAGTTCAGGAGGGAGGCAGATGGCCCGGTGTCATGCATATGTTTTGTCACAAGGAGAATTTCTGAGCAGCTGTGAGCAGTCTCCTTTACCATTTTAGGTCCCTTTTCCCTGCCCACTCAGCAGATGCAAGAGCTGCTGCCATGAGCTCCAGCCAGCTGCAGGCGTCCAGGGCCCCTCTGGCGGGTTAGGGCACAAGCACATTGCAGCACCGCATTCCAAAAATAACAGAAGCTTGCATCATGCTGACCAGATGGTTGTCAGAGGAGGTGCTGTAATTTTGCTAACCCCCACCCCCAGGTGGAGGAAGGTGACCTGCCTGCACATGTTTGTGATGTGGAAGCAATGTCCAGAGGAGATTCTCATGGTCTCACAACCACTGGTCAGCCTTTTTAGTTGGTTTGTTTTTTAACATCTTTATTGCGATAATGATTCACCTATCATAAATTTAACACATTTAGAATATGCTAGGTAGTGGGCTTTCCTATATTTACATAGTGCAACCCTTGCCGTGGTCAATCCCCAAAAGAACTCAGTACCCGTTAGTAATCACTGTCTCCCCGCCGCCTCTTGCAACCACTCATCTGTCTGTATAAATTTGCTTATTCTAGACATTTCATACGTTATGTGTTCTTTTGTGTCTGGCTTCTTTTACCTAGCTTAATGTTTTTTGGGTTCATCACTGTTGTAGCATGTTTCAGTACTTCATTCCTTTTTATTAACGAACTCTGTTCCGTTGTATGGAGATACCATATTTTCCTTTATCCATTCATCCACTGATGGACATTTGAGTTGCTCCATTTTTTTTTTTTATATTTTGGAGAACTTACAAACTTTTCCAAAGTGGCCGCACCATTTTACATTCTTATCAGTAATGAAAGAAGATGCCCATTTCTCTGCATCCTCACCCAGACTTGGTATTGTCTGTCTTTTTTATTATGTCCATCCCAGGGAGTTGAAGTGGATTTATGTTTCCCTAGTGACGGATGGCATGGATCATCTTTTCATGTGCTTTTTAGCCATTTGTATATCTTCTTTGGAGAAATGTCTGTGCACATCCTTTGCCCATTTGTTAATTGAGCTTATTTTTCCACTGTGGGATTGTAAGAGTTCGTTATTCTGGATATGAGTTCCTTATCTGATGTGATTTGCAAACATTTTTTCTTATTCTGTAGATTGTATTTCACTTTCTTGATGGTATCACTTGAGGCACAAATGGTTTCAATTTTGATGTCCAGTTTATCATTTTTTTTCTTTTATTTCTTATGCTTTTAATGTCACATCTTAAGAAACCGTTGCATAACAGAAGGTCATGAGGAGTTACTCCTATGCTTTTTCTAAAAGTTTTTATAGTTTTATCTCTTATAAATTATGTAGGTCTGATCCATTTTTAATTAATTTTTGTGTGTGCTGTAAGGGTATATTCTTTGCACGTAGATATCCAATGGTAAACTCCTTTATTCATGCTTTCATTGGCGGCATGGGCCAGTATAATTGAATGCCTAAGTGCTAAAGGTTGGAGTCAGAAAGCCCAGAGTTCAAACCTCTGTGCTGCTACTTTCTAGTGCTGACTCCTTGAACAAGTATTTAATCTCCCTGAGCCTCGGTGTTAAGGAGACAGTAAGAATAATAACCATACTAGGTTTGTTATAAATATGAAATGGAAAGCATATGTACCTGCCTTGTACATAGCTTACTTAAGGGTAAGTCAGTTGGATAGTTATTTAATGATGATGCCAGGAAAATTCAGTTTCTATGCATTGTGTGTAGCTCCTTGTGGCTTCTGCCAGTGTATGTGTTTGTAATTCCTCCAGTCCTCCTTTTGGAAGTGGATGAGTGTAAGTTATAAAGGAGAAGATGCACATAAACATTGGAATTTTGTCATTGACTCTGTAGTCTTAGGACAGTCATCTTTTTGGATGAATGGTGATAACATCATGTAATTCTGTGTAGCACTGGTCTGTACATTTGTTTCCAACAAAAACTAATTAATATTTGTAAAGGAACATAAGAGATGTAAAACTGGAGCCCCATTGGCACTCCATCACAAGCAGCACCGTCTTCCCATTGATTCTGATGTGTGATGACGTTGGAGTTGTTAGGAGTCATCCATGGAGTCTTATGTCATTGAAGTGGTCTGTGGCCTGAAGAAGCCTGGGAACCATAGTTCTCAGACTGTACTCTCAGTGTTTA